TGCAAGACGCATCGGAGAACCGTAGCCGCTCATAAAGCAGGAGGGCCACCTACGGGAGGTCTTAGGTTCAAGTCTTCATTTCTAGGGCAGGAATCCTGATTAATACTCTTTTTGGGTTCCCTCAGTATATTCTGGTAATAAATAAGCAACGGCCGCTTATTACCACATCGCTAGCCTACAGTTCATCGTTCGTAACCATCTACCATTCGACGCCATATAACAAAGACATAATCAGTACATAAGGCATCGTCAAACAAACCACGAATTAATTGATCCTTAGGGCGAGCTGTACATTCTTTCCAGTTCCAACGCAAAGAGACCAACGTTAGGAAAATATTCACACCTACGGATCTTTGCCTAAAATAAAGTAAACAAAGCTATCCCTGTAAGAGGCCGTGAAGGCTCATAGGTTTGTGAGACGTTGAGGGTCCCACATTTTCTAGACAATCGGCTCAAAGATGGCAGTAAGTTTGTCAGCCTTACACGCCGGCCGCGCTTTACTCCCCAGGAAAATTATTTAACTAATTCCTGGTGCTCATTTCTGTTAGAGACGGATCTTTGCCTAAAAGAGTGAGAAATTAAACACTACTTTACGAAGACAGATGAGGAAGTGGAGGTGTAGCTCCCAGCTTTCTGTACCTTGGCACTGGATGGAAGCGAATGGTCAGCACCACATCTCGGCAGCCGTACCGCAGAGAAATAGACTCCCCAGTACCCATTGAAGAGGAAGTTGAGTGGATCGGAGAACCGGTCTGGGCGCTATGGGAAGAGAACTATCTCACCCCCTGCATAGAATCGAACAGAGAGCCACATTTTCTTAGCGTAGTTGGAGACGAGTCGGCAGCTTCAATTTCCTTACGCTTGACGCCAGCAGAAAGAATCCTTTGACCCCATTCTGTGTGACCCAGAACCACCTTTACTGTGGTGGGGGACGAAAAAGAGTCTCCCCTTGCCTGGAACGAACCCGTTTATATCTCTTCAACAAATTAAAACGAACGACTCAGTGGGAATTTGATTGTTACTCAACAGCCAAAGAAATTCCTCGCCCTTTTAGAATCCGAAAGCTCGTTCCAACATCCGCAAGAGCCTCCACTGGGCCCTGTCGGAAGCCAGTTGATTCCAGTCCACACTCTCACTCACTTGGACGTATCAGATAAGTGGTCTAATTAACGTGTATTTGAAAGTTCTTTGTTTGCACCTGTTGTCTGAAGACTTGTGTGATTGGTAGAGGTGGCGTGTGGAATGTAGAGCATGTTGGAATAATTACCATCGTTTATTTCATGCGCTCCTCAAGTTTGAACTGTAGGAAAACAACAAGATGGAAAGGCAGTTGAAACGCATGTGCTCTAAGGTTGTCTGCACCTCGTAGTCGTTCTTTTTTGCATAAAAAGAACGCATAACAGGGCGGTCATGCACATCCATCCTCATGTGCAAATAACGCACAAGGATGGACATTACCGAAGTGATACGCCCACAGATCGACTGTTTTGCAGTAACGTGTTAGTTACAAGGGGACAGTCAGCTGCCGCAATTCGTGATTGTATAGAAAGAAGCTGGTGAACTGGAACATGTCGTGTTTGTCTTCAGATACATCGCATTCAGCTGGAATGTGCTTATATCCACCATGACCGGCAGATGCAACAGACTTATTTTATCCCTTTAAAGCACACAGGTAATTATATGTACCACCTCTTTTAACATTCATGCATTCTGCACTGTGACCGCAAATAAACCTTATGCGTCGGGGGTTAAATTAGAAACACACAACTTCCGCCATTGGTCTTCATTTAAACACCTACCTCCTAGAGGTATTCTCCACCCACAATAATTCTACCAATTCTGCATCAGTACAGTATGTTTCCCAATAAATGACGTCATATTACAGAAACCTGTGAAGATTCTACTAACCCGGACAACCACGCACTAATCTGCACCTTTTTAAACCTTGGCAAGGTATTTGAACATATCTAGCTGAAAATCATAAATCCCATCATGCACGAAAGACAAATCGACAGATATCAACAATTTGGATAAAGCGGCCTTCGTAGTCTAGGGGTATCGTTCCCACCCGGCGGAGGTCGTGGAATTTTTAAGGGCGGAAAAATTCAAGGAACAAGTCCTCCGGGAGGGACTTTAAGCCGTGTGTCCCGTGTCGTAGATTTACGGCACGTAAAAGATCCTCATGTCTCTAGGAGACCTCTGAGCAAAATTAGGCAACAATTTCCCGCCCAAGTAGTTTCCAATGCCTCTGGTAGAAGGGGGAATAGTCTCCCTGGAAGTTACGAAGGTTTCTGACAAAGTCTGGCACTGAAGGCTAAGACTAAGACGGGTTTCCTTATACCTTCCGAGAAACTTAAGGCACCTCATCTCCTCGTACCTAACAAACCCGGAATTTCTTATAAGTGCGATTCCAACCCAACCACTCGTTCTTTCTTCGGCATACTATTGAATTCTCTTACTAATTCTCCTAAGTGACGTTTCCGAACGTATTTGTACGTATTCAGTTAATCCTTTTCGCGGGTGGCGCTGCTGTAGTCGCTCCGAAGTGTGTACCCAGTTACGGCAGTGCGCCTTCTCTAACGGCATGTGCAGATGTTAGAGAAGTGGGTGACAAAGTGGCGAGTCTCTGTGATCATCAGGAGACAGTATTTTTTCTCTTCTCAAGTCAAAGAAAGCAGGAATACCTTTTGCTCAAAAATCTGTTTCAGTAACCTGTATAGAACGGTCACGTGCTGTCAAATATTTATACTTCACATCCGACAGCAAACGTTGAATCAGCACATTCAATGAACATTTCAAAGGGCACTTAGAGTATCACCCA